GGTAATTTATACAAAACTGAAGGACTTGGACTTCATTCTATGGGTCACAAGGAGTGAAATGATCACATGTGCTTTAAAGAGGCAACAGAATGACTAATGGAGCAGAGAATGGAACAAAACTACCAATCAGGAAGCTATTTTCAAAAGCTTAAATTTAAGAGAATGAACTGAAAGAGTTACAAGAGTGAAGAAACAAAGGCAAAAGCATCTGAGAGCTGAAGAGGAGTCAAGAGAACTAAAATGAATCAGTCACTGATGAGATGAAAGGAGTGTTACTTAAATTTAATTGGGTAGGACAGAAGAAAATGAAAGATAGGTTTATGCACTACTCATGAGTTTCTACACTGGATGACTAGTGTAGAATGTTAAATGAGAGGAATAAACTTGAGAGGATACAGGGATTTATGTGTGTATAGCAGATGGCACTGGTCCTTAAAGACATGGAAAGGGAAGAAAAACAAAAACTGCCCAGAAAGGACATGAAAAGAATAAACTTTTTGGAAACTATTAAGGGAGAATAAAAGAACGGTGATCATATAAAATTAGAGATACATTTTCGGGCTAGTGGTGTGGCACAGTGGGTTAATGCCCTGGCCTTAAGCGCCAGCATCCCATATGGGTGCCAGTTCGAGACCCAGCTGCTCCACTTCTGATCAGCTCTCTGCTATGGCCTGGGAAAACAGTAGAAGATGGCCCAAGTCCTTAGGCCCCTGCACCTGCATGGGAGACCCAGAAGAAGCTCCTGGCTCCTGGCTTTCGATCGGCACAGCTCTGACCGTTGCAGCCAAGTGGGGAGTGAACCATCGGATGGAAGACCCCTCTCTCTCCTCTCTGTGTTAACTCTGGCTTTCAAATAAATAAATAAATCTTATAAACAAACAAAAAAAACCACATTTTCACTATCTATCTGTCTGTCTCTTGATCTCTCTCTCTCTGTATCTCTTACACTCTCCTTCTCCCTCTTTTTCTTCTTCATTCCATCCCTGCAGTCTGTCGGGTTTCCCCCAACAAACTCTTTCCCTTAAAAAAAAATAAAAAAGAAAGAAACACATTTTCAGTCTAAAAGAGGTAATTTAATAGAGGCTAAAAGCTTTGGAATTCTAATTTTGATTTTGATACCTAATTCGTTCATGTGACCTTAAGTTATTTAACCTCTCCAAATCTGTTTCTTCACCTATAAAATGAACAAAGTGTAACTTACAGAACTTACAGGATCAAGTAACGTAAACATACTGGGTCAATTTCATCAATTTTGGTGAAATTAAGTCGCTACATGGGACAACTACATCCCTTATCAGAGTGTCTGATTTGAATCCCAGTTCCTCAGCTTCAGGCCAAGCTTCCTGCAAGCACCCTTGGAGGCAACAGGTAATGGCTCAAATACCTGGGTTCCTGCCACTTGCATGGGAGACTGGCATGGAGTTCCAGACTCCTAGCTTCTGCCTGGTCCAACCCTCCTGCTGAGGACATCTAGGAAGTGAACCAGCAGATGGAAAGTCTCTGTCTCATCTCTGCTCTGTCTTACTACCTTTAACATAAAATGAAACTAAATTAAAAATACAATGTGCTGGCCGGCGCCGCGGCTCACTAGGCTAATCCTCTGCCTGCGGCGCCTGCACCCCAGGTTCTAGTTCTGGTCGGGGCGCCAGATTCTGTCCCGGTTGCTCCTCTTCCAGTCCAGCTCTCTGCTGTGGCCCAGGAAGGCAGTGGAGGATGGCCCAAGTCCAAGTCCTTGGGCCCTGCACCCACATGGGAGACCAGGAGGAAGCACCTGGATTGGCGCAGTGCGCCAGCCGTAGCGGCCATTTGAGGGGTGAACCAAGGGAAAAGGAAGACCTTTCTCTAACTCTGCCTGTCCAAAAAAAATAAATAAATAAAAAAAAATAAACCAATGTGCCTAGTCTGCATAACAACCACAAAGCAGATCCTTGAAATTTAAATTTCTTCCTTTTATTTTCTCCCTGATGGCACAGATTATGTTAGTAGACTGCTTTAATAAAATTATTACTGCCTTTTTCTGTGCATTAAAATTCAAACTTTAAATCAACTCATCCTGGATCACCTTTACCCTGTCTACTTTCCCTTTTTGTCATGCCTCTTCTTTCTAAAATACACATCATTTAATGTTTGTCACCTCAAGTTAAATGTAAGCTACTTGGGGACAGGAATGCAATTTGGTTTACTACTGTATCCTAAGCCTCTAGAACATGCTTCCTATAATTGACACACAGTAGGTACTCAAACATTTTTTCAAAATCACACTGTATAAGAATTCTAATATTTCCCTTTATTATCAAATTATGCTTTTGTGTTCTTCTTTAGACTTCCCCTTTCTTTTCTCAAAAATTTGTTTTGTTTGCTTGAAAGGCAGAATGACAAAGACAGAGGGACCTTCCATAACTTGTTCACTCTCCATATGGCCACCAAAAGCCACTGCTGGGCCAGGGGGAAACCAGGAGCCAGGACTCCATCCTGGTCTCCCACATGAGTGCAGGGGCCCAAGTACTTGGGCAGTCTTCCACTGCCTTCCCAGGCACATTAGCAAGGAGCTGGAGGGGAAGTCCACTATGGGATGTTGTGACAAGCTGCAGCTTAACCTGCTGCAACCTAGCACCAGCCCCATTCCCCTTCCTTTTTTATTTGTGCTTATAGTCAAAATTATCTTTAAACCATCCTAACTTTTCCTATCATCCTTAATCTGATACAGCTGACCTCAGAAAGACATCATGCACCCTTATCTTTCTGACATGTACTTGCTTGATTTATAAGTTCTTCTCTTTCTTTGCACATGTATGCACTTACCCCCTTATATTCATTACTTTTATTATAAGGTCATTTCCAAAATCTACACCTTGAACAACAGTTTCTCAGGCACCTGCATTCTACTTTCGAAGCCATGTAACTGTCAAAATAAAAGATATCTCTAACAGATATTCTTTGATAGCTGAACTTTTGAAATGTTCAAATCTAAGTTAACAGTTTGCCCCAAATATAAAAAAAAGTATTAAGTTTTCCAATTATAATAAAAAGTACCACACTACTCTAATAGAATTCATCTTGTATGAAACCTGGAAAAAAGTTTTTCTTTTAACTTTTATATTATATCCACTAAAATATTCCAGATAATAAAATTTAAATTTTACCTTTCTACACCATTTTAACTAACCTTTTCATATGAGGTCCTGATTACCCCAAATTATCTGAACCAAAACATCTTCTAGGAATTAGTCTCACACAACATGTTTTGAGAAATGCTATTAATGGGGTCAAATGCATGATCTTCAAAGTCTTCTTTAGAATGAGTATTTAGTTTTGTTACCTTTGTTATGTCACCCACCCGCATAAAGTCATTTTCTGCTTCTCTATCAGGTAACTTCCAAAAGTTCATGGAAAATGGTATTAAAGTATGATTTTTTTCCACGAATTTTTTGAAGCCCTCTTGTATATTTGTTCACACACAACACCTAATTTAAAATCCTAGTGAAAATACATTGCATTCCAGAAGCTATCCATAATACAATATTTCAGGTACTCAATCCAACTAAACATTAGGAGAAAGGAGATTTTTATACAATCTAACTTTCCAGTCACCTGATTGCTTTAGAACTTCAACTCTCAGGAGGCCGGCACCGTGGCTCACTTGGTTAATCCTCTGCCTGTAGCGCCAGCATCCCATATGAGCACCAGGTTCTAGTCCTGGCTGCTCCTCTTCCAGTCCAGCTCTCTGCTGTGGCCCAGGAAGGCAGTGGAGGATGGCCCAAGTGCTTGGGCCCTGTACCCACATGGGAGACCAGGAAGAAGCACCTGGCTCCTGGCTTCAGATCAGTGCAGTGCCGGCTGTAGCGGCCATTTGGGGGCTGAACCAAAGAAAAGAAGACCTTTATGTCTGTCTATCTCTCTCACTGTCTAACTCTGTCAAATAAATAAATAAATAAAAAGAAAAAAAATAGCGTTATTAAAAAAAAAGAACAACTCTTATTCTATTCTGAACAGGAATCCAAAATATATTATATACCTGCCTTCCCCCAAGCAGAACATACAAAACACAATTTAACTTTCTGAATTTCTTTAAGTCTGCTTGATTTCAGGTTTTCTGTCTTGTTCCTCACTATCAAATTGTTTATTTTCACTCATCTCAAGAGTGCTATTTTGGCAGCAATTTCTCTCTCCATCCAGTTTTAAAAAGTTATGTAAAATTAAGGCCGCTGGCAGTGCTGGCATCCCATATGGGTACCGATTTGAGTCCCAGCTGCTCTCTTCTGATCCAGGTCTCTGCTATGGCCTTGGAAAGAAGTAGAAGATGGCCCAAGTCCTTGGGCCCCTGCACCTGCGTGGGAGACCTGAAAGAAGCTCCCGGCTACTGGCTTTGGATTGGCCCAGCTCTGGCTATTGCGGCCATTTGGGAAGTGAACCAGCAGATGGAAGACCCCTCTTTGTGTCTCTACCTCTCTGTTAACCTGCCTTTCTAATAAATAATAAATAAATATTTTTAAAAATTAGGTAAAATTCATTTAGCTAAATTTAAACACATGAAATGTTTTTATGACTGTAAAGGTACAATTTTTAGAACATGTATATATATATATGATAGCATATATTTTTGTTTAGTGTTTTTCAGCTACCTTTCAAAATAAAAGGGGATCAGATAAGCTATTTTAACATATATTTCTTTACGTTTTGTCTTGTGAGTTTATGATGAGGGGATGGAGGAAAGTATTTCAAAACTACCTAAACATATAAAAAACAACCATTAACTACAAAACTATGATAGGCATTTCACAAATATTGTCTCATAGGGTTCTTAGATTTATTTCAGAAGAGAGAATGTAATTATCTAGCACTTACACATTAACCAATTGCTTAATACAAGTGCCAATTAAAGGATGCAATATGGGTACCTTCTATCAAAGCACAATAAATAATATCTTTCTAGAATCATCTTTAAAAAGTTCTAGTAAACTGACAACATACACTTATCTGGAGAAAAAGGAACGACTTACCAGTAAAAGTTGAAGTAACAGTTTCAACAGTTTTGGAAGGATCTGCATCTTTCCTATTTAAAAGAAGAAATGAGAAGTTCTAAATCTTAAAAAAATTCCAAAAATGAATTATTTAAATCTAAAAAAGTTTAAAGCAACTCAACTGGAACTATGTCCCATTCAGTTTGTCCTTACGGTGATGAAATTACATGGGTACTTCAAAAGGTTCATACAAAATAGAATTAAAACATAATTTCGGTGCAAAAGATTTTGAAATCCACATATACCAGGGATATTCAAAAAGTTTGTGGAAAATGTGTATTATCAAAAAACTACACATTGAATTCTAAAATTTTGCCCGAAAATAACTTTATATTTTATTTTGGTGTCCTCATATTAAAATGTTTTACAAATTAATTATTTCTTAACTCATACACACATTCTTCAGTCAATGAAATCATGGAATTACTTACTTTAATGCAGATGCAGACACTTTCTTTGAATCTAAAGTCTTTTTCTTTACTTCTTTGTTCTATGAACAAAAAGTATTTAAGAAAAATATTTAGTTTTCTCCCATTTATAAAAAGCAATTCAGAAGATATAAAAAAGGATAAAGGGAATCCAACAAAAAAAATCTAAAAATCTTCCTACTCCAAAGTTAAATATTTACTTTTTACTATTGCATTAACTGCAGCTCAAATCAGCATCCATATGGGATGCCGACATGACAGGTGGCGGCTTTACATGCCATGCCACAATGATTGCCCCCAATTTGTGATCTTGCAGCACAGTTTTACATGCCCATCATTTACCACTCATCTATATTTTTCTTAACATTAACTACTTTTCAATAAGAAGACTTATTACAGCACTGTGACGTTTCAAATGTCTAACTGCTATCACCCTGGTGTAATTTACCAGAGTAGATTATTGTGATATTATGCTAACTACAAAACCCTCATAAAGATCTCTCTGCTTCTGCCCTTGACTTTCCACCAACCCACACTCTCATGACAACATGAAACTAGATTTAAAAGGCCATTCCTAGACTCAAAAATTTTCATTACACTCAGAAAAAGTCAGTAGTTTCTCTTTATCCACAGGGCATACATACCAATATCACTAGTGGTGATCTGAAACACAGATAGTACCAAACCCCATACATTCTGGTTTTTTTTTTTTCCTATACCATATCTGTGACAAAGCATATCTAAGACTAAAAACATCAGAAGATGTTCAACTTGTTTTCATTCTGAAAGACACCTTCAATTTTAAAAGAACTTGAAATTACTTATTTCCTCCCTGTAAGCTAAAATCCTGGCCCTTATTCTTTGGTTATATTCCAATTTTTGATGATATTCTTTAGATCAAAATGATGATCTTGTGGGCCAGTGGTGTGGCACAGCAGGTAATGCTGCCATCTGCAGTGCCAGCGTCACATACAGGCACTGGTTTGAGTCTCAACTCAACTCCACTTCCGATCCAGCAATAGTCTGGGAAAGCAGAAGACGACAGTCCAAGTCCTTGGGACCCTGCACCCACGTGAGAGACCCGTAAGAAGCTCCTGGCTACTGGCTTCGGATTGGCTCAGCTCTGGCTGCTGCGGCCAACTGGAGAATGAACCAGTGGATGGAAGATCTCTCCCTCTCTCTTCTCTCTCTCCTACTCTGCCTCTGCCCCCTGCTTTTCAAATAAATAACTAGGCCGGCGCCGCGGCTCACTTGGCTAATCCTCTGCCTGTGGCACTGGCACCCCAGGTTCTAGACCCGGTTTGGGTGTCGGATTCTGTCTCAGTTGCTCCTTTTCCAGTCCAGCTCTCTGCTGTGGCCGGGGAAGGCAGTGGAGGATGGCCCAATTGCTTAGGCCCTGTACCTGCATGGGAGACCAGGAGGAGACACCTGGCTCCTGGCTTCAGATCAGCGCAGCGCACTGGCCGCAGCGCGCTGGCCGCAGCACGCCGGCTGTAGCAGCCATTTGGGGAGTAAACCAACAGAGGAAAGACCTTTCTCTCTGTCTCTCTCACTAACTCTGCCTGTCAAAAAATAAATAAATAAATGTCTTTGCAACTGATGCCATTTTATGATTATTAAGATTTTATTCTGTAAATAGTTTCATGGGTTGTTACCAAACACTTTATATTACAACTTCTCCATTTCTTTTTTTCTTTTTTTTTAAATGTATTTATTTATCTGAAAAGCAGAGCTACTGAAAGAGATCTTCCATCTGCTGGTTCACTCCCCAAATGGCTGCACAGCTTGAATTGGGCTGGTCTGAAACCAGGAGCTTCTTCTGGGTCTCCTATGTGGGTGGCAGAGGCCCAAGCACCTGGGCCATCCTCTGCTGCTTTCCCAGGCATATAAGCAGGGAGCTGGAGTGGAAGGCAGAGGCTTTACCACCACAATGCTGGCCTCTTCGTTTCTGAAGTTCTTCATTTTATGCCAACATTTTGGTAAAGATATATAATTCCTGTCCGTGCACATCTGAAAACACTGTCCTAAGATACATTAGTATTTCACTTGAAATGGATGTACTAAATTACAGTGAGTCACAATCTTTTTCCATGCAACCCTGAAAATTTATTGTTCTGCTATCCAGTATTAGACTATTTCTTTGTGTAATTATACTATTTCTGTCTGGATCACTTTTAAATTGTCTCTCTGTAACAAGGGAACTTTAAATCTTCAAAAGTATTTAAGTGATATGCTCTTTGTGGAGTTCTAGTTACATACAGACTGGATGTGCCTAGCATTTCATAATTTTTGTCTCTTTAACCTTCACTAACAGACTGTAAGGACCTACTGCATCTTCTGCAAATACTATGTCAGATGCTTCTTAAGTTTCTGAATTAAAATGAAGTTAATTTCATCTGAATACTGACTACATCTTTGGTTTTATTTTCTTGTTAACTCATTGGATTTTCTATAATACTAAATTTTTTACAGCCTCCCAGAACTATTTTTCATTGCCTTTCAAACTATATGGATTTTACCTGAGTTGCTCTGGTAGAAAAAAGTTAATGTCTTTCACTTACTATGGTAATGAGCCCAAAAGACTCTACATACCTCTTTTTCTTTTTTAAAGGTTCATTTATTTATTTGAAAGGGAGAGATATAGTGAGAGAAGGAGAGACACAGAGACAGATCTTCTGTCTGCTGGTTCATTTCCCAAATTGCTGATATAGTCGAGGCTGGGCCGGGCCAAAGCCAGGAGCTTCTTCAGGGTCTCCCCAGTAGGTGCAGGAGCCCAAGTATCTGAGCCATCTTCCACTGCTTTCCCAAGTGCATTAGCAGATAGCTAGATCAGACATAGACCAGCCAGGACTGAACTGGCAGCAAATAGAATGCCAGCACTGCAGGCAAGGGCTTAACCTTCTACCCCATGATGCCTGTCCCATCTACATACTTCTAATATGAAGAAGGTATAATCAGAATTCTTACCGGAGTTCCCTCCCATAAATCCCTGGGCAACTTGCCCTTTCACAGCACAAGAGTCCTAAGTTAGCCTTCCAAGTCTCATTCAACTCAGCATAACTCAAACCATACTTAAAGAATATCAATGTTTCTTAGACGCAGATGGCATATTTTATGAAAAATCTTGATAGTAAATATGGTTTGTGCTCTTGGACTTCTGTTGTTACCTTACCAGCCTCATCAGAAAGTCATCCAAAAGAATCCTGATCTGTTTAACACAGTCTAATTCCTTAAATGTCTCCTGAATCTATTTTCCAGATTAAACGTCTTAGAACTTAAGACTGGCCTTCTCATTTCTCTAAATGTAACAATCAGCTAGGTCTCACTTGCCAGTCACTTGTATATGCTACTTTTCCTTCCTATTTTCAAGGCTACTAGACCACCCAAAAACATTTCCATCATCACAACAGATGATTTATCTGACTGGAATTCAGTACTCTTGTCTCTTCTCCACTTTAATCCATCTGCTAGGCTTTCTCTGCATTCAGTCTCATTTGCTGGACTAACTCATTCTCTTGGCCACTTACAGAACACTCTTTTTAATCAATACATTCTAAGTGTCACATCCCTTGTTTAAAAATCTTGAGTAAAATTTACTTGTGTATAAGCTGAAGTTCTTACACTACACATCCAATTCTTGATTCTCCTTAACCTCCTCTGCAACAAGATAACCATGTGTGATTGTTCTGGTAAATCAAATAGAACAAATGTTGCTAGGAAATTCAGTCACTCAAACTCCATTTGTTCATGAATTTTATTCATTTTTTTTCCTGTTTAGAAGATAGAAATGATGCCAGGAGATATAGTCATCATCTTACAACTGAGGATGAGAGCCACATGCTAGATTGTGGAGCAGAAAGACAGGTTGGGGTCCTCAAAGTATTACAGAGCTGACATCAGCCCTGGACAACACATCTGAACATTTCCTGTTACTATGCAAACATACTTCCTACATGTTTAATAAATCACCAGTGAAGTTTTCCACTAGTTGAAACAAAAGACCCTTTTTCTTATAGCATATAAATATTTTATCTGTGTGTATATACATGTATATATAAAAAATAAACTAAATTCCCCTCCCCAATGTAGAACTTCAAGGGAAAAAATATAAAACTTGCTAAAGGACATGAAATGAAACCTAAATAAATGGAGAGATAACTAAGTTTTTGGATAGAAAAACTTATTACTGGAAAAACATCAATATACATTCAATATTATATCAGTTAAATCCCAGTGAGATTTCTTTAGAAACCTAAACTGGGGCTGCTGCTGTGGCATAGCAGGTTAAGCCACTGCCTGCATTGCTGGCATCCCACATGGGTGCCGCTTCGAGTTCCGGCTGCTCCACTTCTAATCCAGCTCTCTGCTATGGCCTGGAAAAGCAGTAGAAGACGGTCCAAGTCCTTGGGCCCCTAAACCCATGTGAGAGACCTGGAGGAAGCTCCTGGCTTCGGATTGGCACAGGTCAATGGGGAGTGAACCAGCAGATGGAAGACCCCTCTCTATCTCTGCCTCTCCTTCTCTCTCTCTGTAACTCTGCCTTTCAAATAAATAGATAAATCTTAAAAAAAAAAAAAAAAAAAAACCTGAATTGTTTCTGAAACCACTATGCCTGAATAAATGCTCAAGATTCCACAAAAAATTTAAGAGCAAAGAAAAATAACTACCAGGAATATGAAAATATTAAAAGATTATTAATTAAAATCACACAGTACCATAAAAATAATCAGACTGATTCAACAGAATAGTCTGAAACAATCTAGATATACAGGGTAATTCATATATAAAAAGGTTTTTTTTCCCCCAGTCAACACAGATTAATCATAAATGGTGTTGTGCTAATTTGCTATCCATTTTAGAAACAGGTATAGATTCCTAATCACACATTACAAAAAGCAGATTAAGAAAATAATGGAAGCATTTCTTTTTGACATTAGTAGAGAGAAGGCCATCTAAAACAAGCCACAAGGAAAAAAGCAAAGCCACTGAAGAACACACCAATAAAACTGTAGACAGGGAAATTACAAAATTTATATATGTGTATATATAAGCAAAAAACTGCATAAAATGCAAATTAAAACTAGATACTATTTTTAAAATACTGGATTTTTATAATTAAAGAAATTAAGATACTGATAATACAGAAACATTTGTACTCTCAAAAATTAACAGTGTAAACTATCGCAGCAACTGAAGGGACAATCTGATATGATCTATTACTACCCTATAACCTGACAATTTCATTGATAGGCATCAACTTAAAAATGCAAAAGGATGGCCTGTGAGAAGCATACACCAAATTACAAAAAAACTTGTGTATAATAATGAAAAACTAGAATTATCCTTAAAATCAATCAATAAAGAACTGGTAAAATAACTGGTATAGTCATTAAAAGTAACACTACAGAGAAGTTAAAAGCAATGAAGAAAACTAACATGATCAGACTGAAAAATCAAATTGAAAAATGTATGCAACAGAATCTCAAAGCAGGCATTCTGTAGCAAATAAAAAATTAAAAATTAAACCTACTGGATATTTTACAGTAATTCTGTAGATATTATTTTTGGACATATAAACAAAATAGAAAATAATCTACAAAGACCAAACTAACATTGATACTTCTAAGGTTAAAGCAAAAGAGGTTTTTCTCAGTATATTCTCTAAGTTCAAAATAGACGAAACTATGGAATTAGAAACCAAGTTGTATAGCAATTAAGACTCTAGGCTTAGGGGCCAGTATTGTGGCATAGTGAATGAAGCGGCTGCCTGTGATGCTAGCGTTCCATATGGGTGCCAGTTCGAAACCCAAGAGCTGGCTGCTCCACTTCCAATCCAGCCCCTGACTAACATGCCTGGGAAAGCAGCAGAGGATGGCCCAGGGGACTTGAGCCCCTGCACCTAAGTGGGAGACCTGGAAGAAGCTCCTGGCTCCCAGCTTTGGCCTGGGCCAACCCCAGCCATTGCAGCCATTTGAGGAGTGAACCAGTGGATGGAAGATCTCTCTTTCTCTCTGTCTCTTCCTCTTTCTGTGTAACTCTTTCAGGTGGATAAATAAATCTTAAAACACACACACACACTCTCTCTCTGGGTTTGAATGTCAGCATCCCATATCCAAGTACCTAGAAAGACAGGTGACAGATACAGCTTAAGTACCCAGATCTCTGCCATCCTTGTAAGAGACCCAGACTGGGTTCCTGGCTCCTGCTCTCGGTCTGGCTCAGCCTCAGCTTTCCAGGCCTTTGGGGAGTTAACTAGCATAGATACAGCATACATATAGCATATATACCTGTCTGTCTCTGAAATAAAATTAATCAAGCTAAAGGCTACCTGTAGAAAGAATGAAGGGTTTTGAGGATTGGAAAGGAGTAGTTCAGAGGCTTCCAAGATGCTGGCAGATGTACTATTTTATTCACTTTAGGTAGCAGTTTCACAGACATTTACTAATTTTGTTTTACATCTGATATCTTCCACCACTCTGTTGTCATTTAATATTGTTTACAGTACTATACATATGTATATATTCAGAAGCTTTATATTTCAGTATATTTAAATTTGCAAACATGTTATCTGTTCAGCTAAAATGTTTATTTTACTTTTTTTGCACACATGTCATACCTTAAAAAAAATTCAGCTCATCAACAATGATAAACTATGTAGGACCTAACTTCAGTTTACCTGTACTTTTTTCTTCCCTGCTGGAATACGTATTTTCACATCTTTTCCTTTTATTAGAAGAGGTGTTGTTTCAATGTACTTCATTACTGCAGTAATGGCCTCTTTAAATTCCATTTCCAAATAAGCCTAAAATGAAATTTATTCCTTTTTTAGTCAGAAATTTACTTTTAAAAGCCTGGGCATCTTATAGAAAACGTGAAACTTTTCTGGGAAGCATTAAACCATGAAACTACTTTCAAGTACTAGTTGATTTTTTCTCTTTGTTTTCGCTAGAGTATTTTGATGTTTTTCACACATGAAATAGATATCTAACCTTACAGAATTTCTAGGCCACTACCAACAAACAGCATGGCAGGCTCATTGAATAGAATGAAACAGGAAGGCATGGCTCACTGAACAGGAGTGAAAGCAGGATTTGACCTAGTTTAAAATCTGACATTTTTAAGGATTTTTGCAACAAAGATGACACTAGCAGTACATTGCTGTCTTAACTCATATAACTTTATGTTCTGTTTAGTCTAAGAAAGGTTGTTCACAGTTTATGTATTACATGAATATAACCCACATGAAAATAGTTCTTACATAAAAATATTATTTATGTTACTAGTGTCCTAAAGCAATTATTAGTGAACTATGGCATACCACCTATTTTTTTAAAACAGTTTTCTGGGAGGCCTGGTGTTGTGGCATAGTGGATAAAGCCCGCTGCCTGTGATGCTGGAATCTCATATGGGCACTTGTTCAAGTCTCGGGTGCTCCATTTCCAATATAGCTCCTTGCTAATGACCAGGAAAAAGCAGCAGAGGATGTTCCAAGTATTTGGGCTCCTGTCACCCACTTGTGACACCAAGGTGAAGCTCAAGGCTCTCATTTCGACCTGGTCCAGGGATGGCCTTTCCAGCCATCTGGTGAGTAAATCAGTGAATGAAACATCTCACTCATCCCTAACTTTGAGTACAAAATGAATAAATAAATCTTTTTTTTTTTTTTTTTTTTGACAGGCAGAGTGGACAGTGAGAGAGAGAGACAGAGAGAAAGGTCTTCCTTTGCCGTTGGTTCACCCTCCAATGGCCGCCGCGGCCGGCGCGTTGCGGCCGGCGCACCGCGCTGATCCGATGGCAGGAGCCAGGAGCCAGGTGCTTTTCCTGGTCTCCCATGGGGTGCAGGGCCCAAGCACCTGGGCCATCCTCCACTGCACTCCCTGGCCACAGCAGAGAGCTGGCCTGGAAGAGGGGCAACCGGGACAGAATCCGGCGCCCCAACCGGGACTAGAACCCGGTGTGCCGGTGCCGCTAGGTGGAGGATTAGCCTAGTGAGCCGCGGCGCTGGCCCCAAGAAACTATTTTTTTTAAAGATTTATTTATTGGCCGGCGCCGCGGCTCACTAGGCTAATCCTCCGCCTAGCGGCGCCGGCACACCGGGTTCTAGTCCCGGTTGCCCCTCTTCCAGGCCAGCTCTCTGCTGTGGCCTGGGAGTGCAGTGGAGGATGGCCCAAGTCCTTGGGCCCTGCACCCCATGGGAGACCAGGAGAAGCACCTGGCTCCTGCCTTCGGATCAGCGCGGTGCGCCGGCCGCAGCGCACCAGCCGTGGCGGCCATTGGAGGGTGAACCAATGGCAAAGGAAGACCTTTCTCTCTGTCTCTCTCTCACTATCCACTCTGCCTGGCAAAAAAAAAAAAAAAAACTTTTTTGGAAGATATCCATGCTCACTCACGTATTATATACAGCTGCTTTTGTATCACAATGCCAAAGTAGTTATGATCCTTTGGCCAGACAATAAAATCACAGATACTTATCATCTGGCCCTTTATAAAAATATTGTGCCAACCCTTATTATAAAGGATATAGAACAGTATTTGGGAGTTCATTCATATTCCAATATTTACTTAACTAATGAACAATTATATATATATGGGATCTTTAAAAGGTTCATGGAAAATGTGCATTATCTTTTTATTCCATTTTCCACAAACACTTTGTAGTACTCTCCTGTGTAATACAAGCAGCTAAAAGACACAACAATAATTTATAGAACTATTAACTTTTGAGTTCTTTGAACAGACTAAATGACTCACCTCCTTTCTATATGGAACAACCAGAACATCATTAACTTTTCCAAATGGTTGAAATACTTTTCTAATATCTTCTTCAGTACAGCCATCTTCTGGTAACTCAGATATAAGAAGAACTGAGCCACAATGCAAAGACTGCTCTTTCCGAAGCTATTTTTTGAAATAAAAAAAAATTAAGCATAAATAAACCATGAAGTACAGTAATAATTCCTTATATAGTTTTTCTTCTACCACTAATCTCGTTTCTTTAAAGAATTTTTTCTAAATAGTTTTAACAAAATTTTTAAAAAACATGTTTTTAAAGATTTATTTATTTGAAAGTCAGAGTTACACGGAGAGAGCGAAAAAGAGGTCTTCTATCTGCTGGTTCACTCCCCAATTGGCTGCAACAGCCAAAGCTGCACCAATCCAGAGCCAGGAGCTTCTTTGGGGACTTCCATGTAGGTGCAGGAGCCCAAGGACTTGAGCCATCCTCTACTACTTTCCTAGGCCATATAGAGAGCTGGATCAGAAGTGGAGCAGCCAGGTCTCGAACCAGCACACATATGGCATGCTGGCACTGCAGGTGGCAGCTTTACCTTCTATGCCACAGTGCTGGCCCCTAAAAAATTTTAAATGTGGGGCCGGTGCTGTGGCTTAGTAGGTAAAGCTGCCACCTGCAGTGCTGGGTTGGAGTCCCAGCAGCTCAATTTCCAATCAAGCTCTCTGTTATGGACTGGGAAAGCAGTAGAAGATGTTCCAAGTGCTTGTGGCCCCCTGCACCCACATAGGAGACTCGGAAGAAGCTCCTGGCTCCAGGCTTGGATCATCTCAGCTTCACCCAACGCGGCCATTTGGGGAGAGAACCAGCATCTGGAAGACCCCTCTCTCTCTCTGCCTCTGCCTTTCAAATAAATCAATCAATCTTTTTAAAAAAATTTGTAATGCTAAAGACAAAATGTTTTCTATTTTAAAACCCAACAGAGGGGGCCGACGCCATGGTGCTGTAGGTTAACCCTCTGCCTGTGGGCCAGCATCCCATATGGGCGCTGGTTCTATTCCTGGCTGCTCCTCTTCCAATCCAGTTCTCTGCTATGGCCTGGTGAAGCAGTAGAAGATGGCCCAAGTCCTTGGGCCCATGCACCCGCATGGGAGACCCGAAGAAGCTCCTGGCTCCTAACTTCGGATCAGCGCAGTTCCGGCCACTGTAGCCATTTGGGGAGTGAACGAGCGGTTGGAAGACCTCTCTCTGTCTCTCCCTCTCAGTAACTCTACCTCTCAAATAAATAAATAAAATCTTTAAAAGAAAAAAAAAAACACTAAACATCTGATAACCAGCTCCATCAGCAATAACTCTAAAGAGTAATTTAATTAACAAATACAGAATATCCAGTATTATAACTTGCAAATTAAGTAGAAATACACCAATAAACCAGAAAAAACTATTCTATACTGTCCAAAAAAAGTTCTATTTCCCATAAAAACTCTACTTACATAAAAAGTTTACAACAGATTGAAAGTGGTCAACTCCCAAGAAAGTCTGCTGCTGGCAATTAGATTTGTTTCACCAGACAGCAAAATTGACCACAATGATCTACTCTTAAAATTAGCTAACACCACCCAACTTTTAAAATGCTCTAATACATCAAATGCTAAGCCTATGGCATTACTAAATTACAAGACTGAATTATTGGACTCTGTGTTTTGTTTTGTTTTGTTTTGACAGGCAGAGTTAGAGAGAGAGACAGAGAGAAAGGTCTTCCTTCTGTTGGTTCACCCCCTAAATGGCTGCCACAGCCGGCACACTGCGCCGATCTGAAGCCAGGAGCCAGGTGCCTCCTCCTGGTCTCCCATGCGGGTGCAGGGCCCAAGCACCTGGGCCATCCTCCACTGCCCTTCCGGGCCACAGCAGAGAGCTGGGCCAGAAGAGGAGCAACCGGGACAGAATCCGGCACCCCAACCAGGACCAGAACCTGGGGTGCTGGCACCACACGCAGAGGATTAGCCAAGTGAGCCACAGCGCCGGCCAGACTCTGTGTTCTTAAGAGAAACAAATAAAATTCCCATCAATGTAATTTACCAACTTGTGATTTCAAATATATCACAAAAATGGAATAAAAAATTCATAGAATTTTGTTATTTATCATTAAACTAATGTATGGGGAAATGAAATCACTGTGTCAGAGACACCTGTACTCCCATGATTACGCAACACTATTCACAATAGCCCAGGGATGTAAACAACCAACATGTCCATCAACATGTGAACAGATAAAGAAAACGTGATGTGGACTTCTGGTGCAGTCATTCAGATGCCTCTTGGTACACCATACCAGCATCTCACATTGGAGTGCCTGGTTCATGTCCAGCTCTCTGGCTTCCACTCCAGCTATCTGCTAGACACACCCTGGGCGGCAGCAGATAATGTCTAAAGTACTTGAGTCCCTGTCACCCACATGAAAGACCTGGACTGAGTCTTAGAAGAAAGATTTTTAAAGCTTTCACATAATAAAACATAAAATGGTTGAGGAGACAGGTATGTTTTCTCCTCCTTGAGCATTACACAGTGTACATATTTATAGAAGCACCAGCTCTCTGCTGTGCCCAGGAGTGCAGTGGAGGATGGCCCAAGTGCTTGGGCCCCGTACCCGCATGAGAGACCAGGAGAAGCACCTGGCTCCTGGCTTCGGATCAGCGTGGTGCACTGGCCGCAGTGCGCAGGCCGCAGCGGCCACTGGAGGGTGAACAAACGGCAAAGGGAGACTTTTCTGTCTCTGTCCACTATGCCTGTCCAAAAAAAAATTAATTAAAAAAATTTTTAAAAATTAAAAAAACATTTATAGAAGCATCATATGGTACCCTATGAAAATGTACAACTTTTTATGTTAGTGAAAACTAAAATTTAAAAAAAAAATGAAAAAAACATATACCATGCAAAACACTACAAGAAAAAATGTACATATACTTGTAGTAACAAAGAAATACTGACCTTACGCTGGAGAGAAACAGCTTTATCAGGCACCTGCTTACATTCTGCTGAGGTGTCATCTTCTAGATTCTTTAATTTACGAGCTGAATGTCCTCCTGAATTGGGATCACTCTTTGCAGAGCTTGTAGCTTTAATTAATGGCTTTGTTGCACTGCCAATTTTAGGTTTCTGTGCTGGTGAGTGTCCTTTATCAACTGCTTCAAGATGCTTCTGTTTATTAAATTCTGTCCCATGCCCAGATCGTTGTACTACATCTTCTAAAGCTTTTTTTCTATCTATTAAAAAGGACATCAACATGATTTCAATTGAAAAGAACTTAAAGAACCATTTCGTTACATAGTGAAAGAAACATTATTTATCACATACAGCCATTCTCAAGATAAATAGTGAGCAAATACACAGAAAAAATTATTTTTTAAAGATTTATTAATTTATCTTAAAAGAATTACAGAGAGAAAGGGAGAGGGAGAGACAGATTTTCTACCCACTGGCTCACTCCCCAGTTGGCCACAACAGCCAGCACTAGGCCAGGCCGAAGCCAGGAGCTAGGAGCTTCATGTGAATCTCTCATGTGGGTGGCAGAGGCCCAAACACTTGGGCAATCCTCTGCTGCTATTCCAAGACTATTAGCAGGGAGCTATATCAGAAGCAGAGCAGCTGGGACACAAACCGCCACATGGGATGCCAGCATCGCAGGCAGCAGCTTCACCTGGCAAGCCACAACGCTGGACCCCCCCAAAAGATAGTTAAGTCTTTAATTGTTCAAAAAGCTTTTATAAGAAGCTCCTTTATTCAGTGGTCCTCACACAATTTCAGAATTCCTTTATACTCCCACTGAAAACTCCAAGGTATTTTGTGTTATTGTCATTTAATGTGTATTCATTTAAGTGTATGTCATCTAAGTGTATTCATATTTAACATGTTAAAAATAAAACAGAATATTAATTCAGTGAATACTATCTGTTAATATAAAGAACACTTATTTTAAAAAAAAGTGTAATTCTCAAAACAGAAATAATGAGATTAGTAGCATCACTGTGCATTTTTGCAAACACTTTAATGCTGGATTTAAAAGATACCTTTAAATTATATCTACTTCTGTAGTGAATCTGTTGATAGTGTTTTGGTTCAATGTATACAAAGAAAATCTATCCTCACATAAGAGACGAAACTGAAAAAACAAAGATTTTATAAAACTCTGAAAAGAACATGAGGTTCCAAGAGTCCTTGGACCACACACTGAGAATGGCTGCTTTATCCATTCAGAAATATTTCCAGGGGCAGGTATTTATTTAGCCCAGCCACTTAGAATACCCATATCCCACCATGAAATACAACGAAGTACCAGGGTTCCATGCCTTGCTCCAGCTCCTGAATCCAGCTTCCTGCTTAATACAGACCCTGGATAGCAGCAGTAACAGCTCAAGTAACTGGGTTCCTGTTCCTGACGTAAGAGATCTGGATTTAGTGGCACTCAGCTTCAGCCCCAATGATTGAGGGCATTTGAGGAGTAAAAAAGCAAATGGAAGCTCTGTCTCTCTCTGAAGTAAATTTTAAAAGTAATAATAAATTTAAAAGTATTCCCAATTGCAGCCAATCTATTGGTATACTGAATATAGTAAAAGACCTACTCAAAGTACTTCCTAAACATTTACAGTAATTTCTCATTATAGAAGGCTATTTTGGAAAGGTCATTAAACTGGTATTAAGACATAAGGTAGGCCAGCGCCGCAGCTCACTAGGCTAATCCTCCGCCTTGCGGCACCAGCACACCGGGTTCTAGTCCCAGTCGGGGCGCCGGATTCTGTCCCGGTTGCCCCTCTTCCAGGCCAGCTCTCTGCTGTGGCCCGGGAGTGCAGTGGAGAATGGCCCAAGTGCTTGGGCCCTGCACCCCATGGGAGACCAGGATAAGTACCTGGCTCCTGCCATCGGATCAGCGCGGTGTGCTGGCCGCAGCATGCAGGCCGCGGTGGCCATTGGAGGGTGAACCAGCGGCAAAGGAAGACCTTTCTCTCTGTCTCTCTCTCTCACTGTCCACTCTGCCTGTCAAAAAAAAAAAAAAAAAAAAAAGACATAAGGTAGGGGCCAGTGCTGTGGCGCTGTGGCATAGTGGGTAAAGCTGCTGCCTGCAGTGCCGGCATCCCAAATGGGCACCAGTTCGAGTCCTGCCTGCTCCACCTCTGATCCAGCTCTCTATATGGCCTGGGAAAGCAGTAGAGGATGGCCCAAGTCCTTGGGCCCTTGCACCTACATGGAAGACCCCAAAAAAGCTCCTGGCTCTGGATCGGTACAACTCTGGCCATTGCAGCCAACTGGGGAGTGAACCAGTGGATGGAAGACCTCTCTCTCGCTCTCTCTCTGCCTCTTCTTCTCTCTGCATAACTCTTTCAAATAAATAAATTAATTTAAAAAAGGACATAAATTAACAATATGAATAATTTCATGTTAAGTTTTAAATGAATTCATAAAGCTCTATATAAGTAATTCTCAAGAAAAAAATCAGATGTTTTTACATCCTGTTTTTAAATTTGATGTTGGTAAACAGATACACTCTCTCAGACTTCTGCACACAATGTTTCTAGAGGGAATAATGGACTGTATGGGATGTGAATCAGATTTCATGTAGCAATTCTAAAATTTACCATATACAACATTTCATTTCTTAAAATCCAAACATAAAAAAACTGAAAAGGTTTAGTCAAAATAAGTAGATTGATTATTTCACAGCTATTAGAGTACCTGATGATCTCACTGATCTCCGTGACATCCTTTCAGGGCTAACTGATCGATAGCATTTTGGACTACCTCTAAATGGATTTCTAATTCGATATGGTGAACGAGATCTGGATCTTGATCTGTATCTAGAAACGAAACGATGGCAAATTCTTGGACTTCGACTTCTTGGTCTGTATATGTAACGCATTGGGCTTCGAGATCGACGGAACCTGTGACTAGAGCTTGATCTTCTGGATCGCCTGGGGCTGGGTGAATGAGACCGCCTTCTTGGAGTTTCATTTTCTTTTCTATTGCACTCATTTCTACAAAGGAGTAAGAGAAAACAAGCCAAGAGTCAGCAATTTAATGTAAGCTCAAATGATATTAAATGACAACAACACTTCACTAAAAAGAGACTTTTGGCAGTATCAAGCATTAGTAATACTTAAAACAAAAATAAACACCTGTTATGATGTAATTCAGCCTTGTAGGGTAAGGAAGAAAAAATGAGAACAGATGATAAGCCCTCCAATTGCTGTGCTATCTCGTTTACAGAAAAGTATCATCATAAATGTCCTGGGTTTTTCCTGTACCAATATTATAATTAATAGTTTGAAAGAGATATGCAAAGAATTTAGAAAGTGATTTACATAAACATTTTTCAAAAGTTTTTCCCTGAAAGATTGTTATTGCTAAGGTTTGAATGTGTTTTTTTCCCCTGCCAAAGGACTCATGTGTTGGTGATAACAAGAGTTGGTGGGACCTTTAAGAGAAGGGGTCTAGTGGGACATCCTCAGGTCACTAGAGGCTCTGCCTGAGAAGGGAAGGTAGCTCTTGGACAACTCAGAGTTAGTTCTCATGAGAGCGAGTTGTTGTAGAAGAATCCTTCTTTGAATCTGGCTTCCTTCCTTGTTCTCTCTCCCGCCCAGACCCTACCACTGTGATACCATTCCCTGTGAGACCTTCACCAGAGCCAAGCACAGCTGGCACTACACTCTTAAAACTTCCAGAGCTGTGAGCCAAATAAACCTCTTTTCTTTACAAATTACTCAACTTCAGGTACTTTGTTACAGTAACAGAAAAATGAACAAAGCCATCTACAAATATTTCTGTGAATATAAACACAAATTGAGTACAGACCCCTAGAGGCTATAGATCTTAGAAAGACCACTCTCAGCCTTTAAGGCATTTACAATAGAAGATCCCACAAACATAAAATAATCAGAACAAGTATTTTCAGAAAAGATTAAAGAAAACAGAAGTTCAGTGAGGGAAAGTATTGCATTTAAGCTGGAATAAGTGAAGGAAGATTCACAGATTTTTGCATTTGTCTTCTGTTAAAAAGCAAAAATGGTGAAAGTAGGCTTCAATTCAAAAGAATAACTTTTTTAACAAGTAACTGTTTACTCTCAAAAGAAAATCAAGTTTCAATAATAATACTATTTTTTTAAAAATTACCTTCTTGATGGAAGGATTTCAGGATTCCAATCAGGATACCTATTTTGAGAATAAACAATATTAATAAACAGCTAAACTAAAACTATAAGGCTCAAGTAATCTTTACCTTCAATATATTAGGAGAACTATTCAAAACCTTAGTTTACATAGTGATTTATTAAATAGGGTTATTTCAAAAAGTTCATGGAAAAATACAGGTAAAAATAGTATGTGTTTTCCACAAACTTTTTGAAGTGCCTTTGTAGGTTAAAATATGAAATTTTTCTTGGAAATAAAATATTGAGAGTCTAACTCAATAAATAATTAAACTACTATGCTAGTAGGTGTAACAGAGAAACACATTTTAAAGGCCTAAAAATTTAAGTATAATAGGCAATACACACACAAAAAAGTGTTTAAAAGCACAGAAGAGGTACAAGATACAAGTATTGAAAGGGGTTAAAAAGACAGAAGACAGTTCATCCACTAAGCAGAACTCCAGGGGGACATGATTCTTATCATATTTTAGAGTACTTCCATAGGCTACAATATGAGTGGTGCTCCTTAAGTGATACCATGTGGTCTCTGGAAAGATACATCTAAGTGAGAGCAATCAGAAGATAGTTCAAAGACAACACTGCTTTTCAAGTAGCCCTTAAAAAAACCCATCAGCTGGAATGGGTTAGTTTAGATTTCAAGCATGAAAATATATAAAACGAAGGACCAGTGGCAAAATATTGGTATTCTGTTCCAGAAACTGGTCTGCAACAGCACGGAAATGATGAAAAAGAACTGTGAAAGTACTTGGAAAGGCTGTCTCAGGTAAAGACAAAATTATGAACAACCTTAAAATCACATAATGTGGCTTCACACAAGAGAAAGCAATGAGGGATTCACTGACCATTTCTGAAGCAAAGATAACATAAGAATGTTTTCAGAACATTTATAAATGAACATCTGAAACTAGGAAAAGGCGGCTGAGATATTTAGAAAGAAGTCACAGCTATATTCTGAAGAGTGAGACTAACATAGGAGGGAGTTACAGAAAAAAGAGGGTTGAGGACAGAAATCTTATGCACAAGAACATTTAAAACAAAAAAGGAATAATCACAGAAAGAAAAAGGAGGAACAACAGTATCACAGAAGACAGACATCTCCACCTTCAACTTTTCTAAAGGACTTGAGCTAACTAGACATGGTGAACATACTAAATCATTAAATTGCTAGTACTCAAGAATATATTTTCCATAGTAAGATGAAAGCCAGGTAAGGAAATGGAGACAGCACTTTCAACAAGTCATCAATAAAAAGTTAGGTCATAAACTCAGTGAAAGTAAAGTGGTTTTTTGGTGTTGCTCTTTGCCTCAGATGCTGTTAATGAACTAACTCAACAGCAATTCTCAACAGTTTTTCCTTGCCTGCCTCTGTAACAAAAGCTAAAAAAGCTAAATATTTTCTCCCCAGCCTAGCTTCTTTAGAAGACAGCTAGTGGTAGGTTCTAACCAAACAAAGGAGCAAGACCGCTGACAAATTCTGAGAAATCTCCTGTTGCTTTCTTCCTGCTTTGAGAGTAGACAAGTTACCCATGGTATTTTGTGATTATGTGATGATAAACTATGAAGACAGGGCAGGTGTTTAGCCTAGCAGTTAAGATGATGGTTAAAAGCTCGTATCTCATATTGGAGTAGCTGGATTCAGCACCTGGCCCCAGATCCTAACAGCAGCTTATTGCCAATGCAGACCCTGAAAGGCAGTAGATGATGGCTCAAGTATTTGGATCCCTGCCACTATGTGGGAGACCCAGATTGAGTTCCCAGCTCTCAGCCTTGCTCTAGCCCAGCCCTGACCCTTGCAGCCATTTAGGGGATAAATCAGATGGTAGTGTTCACTCAAATTAAAAAGAAAAAATTTAAATTGATAAAAAAATTAGCTTTGAAGCCAGCATTGTGGCACAGTGGTTAAGCTACTGCCTGCAACATTGGGATCCTATATGGGTCCTGGTTCCAATCCAGCTCCCTACTAATGGCCTGGGAAAAGCAGCAAAAGATGGCATAACTGCTTACATAAAATGAGTGCCACTCCCTGCCACTCACATGGGAGACCAGGAAGAAACTCCTGGCTCCTGGCTTTAGCCTGGCCAGCCCTGGCTATTGAGGCCACCTGGGGAGTGAACCAGCAGATGGAAAATCTCCCTCCCTCCTTCCAACTCGTTTAAATAAATAATCTTTTTTAAAAATAAATTAACCTTAATCCAAGGTATTCCTCACTTGTCAATAAATTCCAGTAAGTGGATAATTTTGTTTCCATCCCCTCTAATACTTTTTAAAACTTGCATTACTATTAACTTTTTAAATACTTTTTAAAACTTGTATTACTGTGTTACTCTATTACTATCTAGGAAGATGAACTCCTGCCTCATCTTATAACTCAGTGTTTAAAAGAAAGAACTCATAGCCGGCGCCGCAGCTCACTAGGCTAATCCTCCGCCTTGCAGCACCGGCACACCGGGTTCTAGTCCCGATCGGGGCGCCGGATTCTGTCCCGGTTGCCCCTCTTCTAGGCCAGCTCTCTGCTGTGGCCTGGGAGGACAGTGCTTGGGTCCTGCACCCCATGGGAGACCAGGATAAGTACCTGGCTCCTGCCATCGGCAGCGCAGTGCACCGGCCGTGGCAGCCATTGGAAGGTGAACCAACGGCAAAGGAAGACCTTTCTCTCTCTCTCACTGTCCACTCTGTCAAAAATAAATAAATAAAAATAAAATAAAATAAATAAATAAATAAACTCTGCAGGGGCCAGCGCCGTGGCTCACTTGGTTAATCCTCCAGCATCCCATATGGGCGCCAAGCTCTAGTCCCCGTTGCTCCTCTTCCAGTCCAGCTCTCTGCTGTGGCCCGGGAAGGCAGTGGAGGATGGCCCAATTGCTTGGGCCCCTGCACCCGCATGGGATACCGGGAGAAGCACCTGGCTCCTGGCTTCGGATCAGCATAGCTCTGGCCGTGGTGGCCATTTGGGGGGTGAACCAACAGAAGGAAGACCTTTCTCTCTGTTTCTCTCTCTCAATGTCTAACTCTGTCCAAAAAAAAAAAAAAATAATAATCTGCAGAGGCAGGCACCTGGCTTAGCAGTTAAAGACCCCCGAGATGGGATGATCTCACATAGTGGAGTGCCTGGGTTCAAGTTCTAGCTCAGGTCCTAATTCTAGCTTCCAGCTAACATGCACTCTAAAAGGCAGGAGATGATGGCTCAAGTACTTGGGTCCGTCCCTGTCACCCTTGTGGAAGACCTAGATTAGTTCCTGGCTCTCAGCTTTGCCCTGGCCCAATCCAGGCTGTTGCAGGTATTGGGGGACTCAAACAGCCTATCAGAGCTGTCTCTACTTCTCATACAAATTAAAAAAAAAATTGTTTATTTGAGAGGTTGAGTTACAGAGACAGACAGGGAGAGATAGAAAAGAATTCCATCTGCCGGTTCACTCCAGCTGCAACAGCTGGAGCTGTGCCAATCCAAAGCCAGGAGTTTCTTCTGGGTCTCCCATGCAGGGTGAAGGGGTCCAAGTTCTTGGACTATCTTCCACTGATTTCCTAAGCCATAGAAGAGAGCTGGATCAGAAGAGTAGTGGAAACATGAACTGGCACTACCGGCAGAACCTTAGCCGACTAAGCCACAGTGCTGGCCCCCTCAAATTTTTTTAAAGTTGATGGGAAAACGGAATTACAGATTTATCTATAAATAAATAAATAAATGGGTGGGTGTTTGGCTTAGTGATTAAGACACTGCTTGGAATATTCATATCACGTATCACAGAGCCTGAGTTCAAGCTCCAGCTCTATTCCCAATGCTAACTAGCCTCCTGCTAATCTGCATCCTGAATGAGCAAAGCACATTCTCTTACTCTCTCTCTCTTTCTCAAATAAAAACAAAGACCTTTGGAATCAAACAAAACTGGGCTTAAGCACAGGGGTTATATAAATTAAAGCCCACTTTCCAGTATGTGTAGGTTTCAGCTTTCTGACATGTATAATGCGGGCAATTCAGGGGGGGTCATCAAACGGTCATCAATACATTAAAGATTATTCCTAATTTTCCAGAGCTCTCCAGTTAGGGTTCAGAAGAGAGAAGGAAAGACAGAAAAAGGTCTTCCATCTGTTGGTTCACTCCCCAAATGACCGCAAGGGTTGGAGCTAAGCTAATCCAAAGCCAGGAGTCAGGAGCTTCTTCCAGGCAAGGGGCCTAAGCACTTGCACCATTTTCCACTGCTTTCTCAGGCCATAGCAGAGAGCAGGATCAGAAGTAGAGCAGTGGGGACTTGAACCGGTGCTCTTAATGGATACCAGTGCAGTGGGCAGAGGCTTAGCTTACCATGCCACAGCGCTGGCTCCAATGTCTTAGACTTTCAAAGTTTGTCTGCTAACACAATGCTTTCATCTCATACCTGCTGCCCAGGGCAGAAGATAAAGCATCTATAGTATTTTGCCTAGTCAAAAATTTTGTTTCCAAAGCATGATATTACTAATGGAGGTAGAATAATGGAAATGATTAGGAGCAAGGATCTAGGTAATGGACATTATCTGTGCCTTAATGTGATACAATTCACACATCACTTATGAAGTAAATGTGACAAATACATTTAACTTGAATTTAATGAGGAAAACAAACAGCAAAATACATAATGTGTGACATTCTACAAGATAACTTTCCAAAAAAAAAAAAAAAGGCAACAGGAGTGGGTGTTTAGCCTAGCCATTAAGATGCCCATATCCCATGTTGGAGTCCCTGGGTTCAATACTTGGCTCTGGTTCCTGATTCCAGCTTCCTGTTAATGCAGACCCTGGCAAACAGTGATGATGGCTCAAGTAATTGGATTCCTCCTACCAGTGTGAAAGACCTGGGCTCCACCCCCATCTTCCAGCATCAGTCCTGGCTGCTACAGACATCTTGGAAGTGAACCATTCTCCCTCCCTCCCTCCCTTCCTCTCTCTCTCTCTCTCTCTCTGTGTGTGTGTGTGTGTGTGTGTGTGTGTGTGTGTCTGTGTATAAGCATGTGTGAGTATTTTGTCTCTAGGCCACTCACATAAATAATGTTTTGTAAGTCAACATCATGAAAACACCCTCCTCAAACATAAACAAGAAAGAAAAGTATAGTGTGGAGTACTCTAAATTCAGAAATATAATGCATGAATCTTGATTGAATCCCTAAATTTAAATGGGGTCATGCATGGTTAGGGCTAGTTACAAAAGGCATTTTGGAAATAAGTGACAAAATTTGAATTTGGCCTATATAAATTAGTAGATAATATGAAATTAATGTTAATCTTCTGATATGTGCTTTGCTCTCATTATACAGAAAAAATTATTAGGAAATAGTGAATTTAGGAATGAAGTCTCATAATATTTGCAATTTATTTCCTGAAATTTCAAAAAAAAAGTATATATAAAGATAAAATAAATGTATCAAATGCTAACAATTGGTGAATACAGATGAAGACAGTTCAACTTCCTATGGCTTTGAAATTCTTCAGAATAAAATGTTGAGGGGGAAAAGGGAGGAAAAAAAAATCCTTGAACCAGATAAACTAGTGTGATTATTTCTTTTTTTTTTTTTTATTTAACAGACAGAGCCAGACAGTGAGAGAAGAGACAGAAAGAAAGATCTTCCTTCCATTGGTTCACTCCCCAAATGGCCGCAATGGCCAGCACTGTGCCGATTTGAAGCCAGGAGCCAGGTGCTTCTTCCTGGTTTCCCATGTGGGTGCAGGGCCCAAGTACTTGGGCCATCCTCCACTGTCCTCCCGGGCCACAGCAGAGAGCTAGACTGGAAGAAGAGAAACCGGGACTAGAACCCAGCGCCCATATGGGATGCCGACGCCGCAGGCAGAAGATTAACCAAGTAAGCCATGGCGCGTGTTATTTATTTCTTATAAGATAGTAGGCAAATTACCTGTCTGCGCCTCAATTTCCTCAGAGGTGGTTTCAAAGATCAAATCAAATTGATTAAATTGAACATGTCAGTATTTAGAATAATGCCCAGTAAATACACAAAGTAAAATTCTGTATTTTTAAATACACTTTAAAAATTTTTTTAAGTTTTATTTATTTATTTGAAGAGTGATACAGAGGAGAGGAGAGACACAGAGAAATATTCCATCTGTTGGTTCACTTCTAAATGACCGCAATGGCCACAACTAGGCCAGGCGAAAGTCAAGAGCTTTGCCTGGGTCTCCCAAGTGGGTGCAGGGGCCTAAATACTTGGGCCACTTCCACTGCTTTTCAAGCTCATTAGCAGGGAGCTGGATTGGAAATGGAGAGCAGCTGGGACTCAAACTAGCACGCATATAGGATGCCTGCATCACACACAGCAGCTTTATCCTGCTATACCACAACACCAGCCCCTAAAAAGTTATTTATTGGGGCCAGTGTCATGCCTCAGCAAGTTAAGTTTCTGCCTGTGATGCTGGCATCCCATACGAGTGTGTATTCAAGTCCTAGCTGCTCCACTTCCAATCCAGATCCCTGGTAATACTTGTGGGAAAGCAGCAAGAAGATGGTTCAAGTGCTTGGGCCCCTGCCACCCACTTGGGAGACCAAATGGAGTTCCAGGCTTCTAGCTTTGGCCTACCCTAGTCCTAGCCACTGTAGTCATTTAGGGAGTAAACCAGTAGTTAGAAAATCTGTCAATCTGCATTTCAAGTAAATAAAATAAAGTATTTTTAAAAATCTATTTATTTGAGAGACAGAAAACTTCTATCTGCTGTTCCATTCCCTAAATGCCTGCAACACCAGATTTTAGGAACTCAATTCAGGTTTCCCACGTGGGTGGCAGGAAATGAACAACTTGAGCCATCACCTGCTGCCTCCCAGGATCTGCATAAGCTGGAAGCTGGAACTAGGAGTAGATTTGGGTCCTTGAATACAATGTGGGCTAGATCAAAGCCCACTACAAATCTTTAATACTAAAATTCTGACGCACTGTATCTCTTCTCAAGCTAACCACCCATATGTTATATTCCAGAAAGAGCCAACAAAGATAGAAGACAATAAGCTATTAAGAAAAGAAGAATTTAAATATTTATCAATATAGGAATTAGTAAATGGATTAAGAATTCTACATAATGGAACACAATGCACCTTTAAAAGGACACAGAATCAGGATCTATAGCAGCCAATTCAAACTAATTTATTTGCTAAAATGTTTTTTGCTGGGAAAAAAAGCCATGAAGTAATTAATCAAGTATATGATATCAGTAAGGTAAAAAAGTAGGCTAGAGCACTGAACTGGCAGGCATGGAAATGACACACTTTAAAATTAAGTCCCATCTGCATGAAAAATATAAGCTTATCTACAAAAAAGATTTTAATAGGCATACCATGCTCTTTTCTCTAGTAAATGGCAGTACATGCAGCTAGAATCCTCTTATCATCATGAGTGAATATCTACAGCAAATAACTCACTTCTGCAAAGCCCTCATCCTCATAAAAACTAGACATCTCACTGTGTATCTGTGGGAATATGTGACTTAGGGGAAGGTTTCCATTTATAGGCATATCTAATTCAAGTAATATATTATCTCCCAGAGATGACCTATGTTTGTCTGTATAGTTTCTAGTAACTGGATAAACAACCCCAATTACTTGTTCTATGATTCGAGTACCAGTTACCCCACTCTCAATACCAGAAATATGCACAATGACACCAAAAAAAGTTGAGCACTGTATTCCTTCAGCTACTATAAAGATGGAGAACAAAACCAAAGTGGTCCCAAAGAGTCAAACCTAGGACCTTTGCAGGAGTTACAGGCAAAGAAGTACTTTAAGAGAACAAAACATAAAACGCTTAAGAGGCAGGCATTGTGGTAAGCCACCACTTGGGACACCTGTATCCCACATTGGGAGTGATGGACCGAGTCACAGCTTCTGACACAGCTTCCTGCTAATACACCTAGGAGGCAGTGGGTCTCTATCACACATGGGAAAGAATGAGAAAGAGTTCCTGGCTCCTGGCTTTGTCAGAGGGGACCTACAGCAATTTGGGGAGTGAACTAGCAAATTTGAGATCTCTTTTTCTCTCTTTGCCTTTCAAATAAATAAATCTTAAACAAAACTGTCTTGGAGATAAGTAAACAGATAACTTAAGTCCAGAACTATGAGAGTGGAAGAAGTACGCCCGAGATCATATAAGGCCTACACAGAAGAGAATGGCCAAGAAATGGAAATATTTCCGATACTCTGTGATTAAATTAAACTGTTTCTGAAATTAGAGCTAGAGCTACCCCTGAAGCTTCCCAGTTAAATGAGTTAATAAATTTCTTTCCCTTAAAAACTATTTCTAGTTGGGTTAATCACATGCAACGGGAAGAGTCCTGAATAATAACCTCAAAATATATTTGCCCAAGTCTGGTGACTAGAAATTTTTTAAAGGGAAGGGGAACACCTAATTTATTTTTGTTATTACAAAGGACACTGGAGAATACAGCTATAATCACACTTCTCGTCTCTAAGGCTAGTAGGAGAAATATTCACAGGTGCCTTGTCTTAAAGAAAAATATGGAAGAGCTGAAGAAGTAATTGTGAGGAACAAAGACTAGCTTGTTCATCCCTTACTTAAGGTTTATTCTGAAAACAAGTTCTAAGACAAAGCAGAGCTGTAGGCTTAAAGTTAAATACTGGTGTGCTGTATCCATTAGTTTTTAGTTAAATATAACTGCTGGGGGAAAGCAGAAGAGAATGGAATGATATCTGCTCTGAAATAGATAAACTATTTCAGGGAAGGCAAGCCAGCAAAGAAAAAACCAATGATATTAAAAAATTCACCTACTGGAAATTGAGTTAAGAAGGAATCCAAGGCAAGGATCATATTGAATTCTCCCCTTCTGGAATAATCTTAAACATACATCTACAAAAATAATATTTTAAATAGGCAAGAGCTTTCTAAAATATTTTTCTACAAAGCATCACACTAAAGGTATTTAAGTCATAACTGAACATTAACTATTTTGTAAATTTGTTACATATAAAAAAGAATATTCTTACTGTTGACGTAGCTGTCGACAGCTCTCAATATGAGTTGATGTATTTTGATGTTGAATCCAATCCTATTGTAAGACAAAAGTGTTGAAATTAGAATATTCCTCATGTTGAGTAATAAACAGGATGTCTTAAATGACAAGATACATCTTTTCAAAAATTAAACTAGGTATAAATTGCATTTGTCACAGTAAAATTTTCACAAAAATTAAGACCTCCAAACAAATGCACTTAATACCATACCTTTCTGATCCCTTTTAAAACTATTTTATATGGAAAACATTTTAAAAGTCATACCCATAGATTAACACTTGAAATCAACAAATATTTAAAATTGGATAAAAGCACGGTCAGAAAGTAATTTCTCTCCAATATGAAAACAACATCTAAGAACATAAAAAATTCTGTAAGTAAAAGGGTATCTGTAAGACAGCATCTTCAAAATACACTATCTTATTGACTTATTCCTCCAATATTCAAGTTAACACCACCAACAATCAAAAAATACTATCTCATAGGCCAGAATCATTCCAAACAAGGTACTCACTATATTGACAAATGATTAGTAAAAATATGAAAAACTGTTGCTGATCAAATCTAATTTATTTTCAAAATTTAAGAGAAAATAACATCATTTGAAAGACACAAAATCCCTTACATATAGATGTTTACAATTAACAAAATGCTTTCTTATACATTTCTTCATTTACAATTAATCTGCCATAAAATTACAATATGTAACCATCAGTTCCTGGGTGATACATCTCCTTTAGGAAAAAAAAAAGCCAATACAGTTTTCAAAGATACAGACTCCAAAATAAAGCAAATACATAAAAGCAACATGTGTATTACTCAATGTTTTATTGTTCCTCCAGCATTTGGAAAGGCAGAAAACTTACTAAGCAGTTCTGTATTTTGCAACTTTCCTTGAGGAAAACATTTGTTTCCATTTCAAAATATTTTAGTTTAGGTCATTGCTAAAGATAAACCAGAAGTATCACAGAGCACCACTTGACATTAATTTTGGATTCTGCCTTGGCAAGAACTATCTGAAAGTACCTGCAATATTCAACAAGTTATGACAAACCCTGAATTATTTCATTAAGCCATGGAACTGACTATAGACTGCAAAAGGGGGGAAAAACAGTTTCATATTCTGCTCAGTGATACAATGAGAAAGCTAGATAAGATTGGCAGTTAAAGAGTCTCTAGTGGTGCTACAGCCATGTCTTTGATAATAATTGGACACTGTTTACATCAAACAGACACAATGGCGGGAAGGAGGTTGAGCATGATTTATTTGGAGCACACGGTGTTTACTTAAATTGCCAACATTTAAAAACCCATAGATTTCATCCCCAAATCCAGATGTCCAGCTTTTCTTGGAAGAAATATGAAGATATCTAATATTGGATATGCATTCTTACTGCAGTAATCAGCTGAAGGTGACAGCTGCTCTATCTAAGGTATAGTCACTCCAGTGCAACACACACTCTACCATCTTTTTAACATGCTTCTAAGCTCAGTAAATAGATGTATGCCACCCCAATTTCTTTTTATAATCATATTTTTATTATATTATTTATTTGAAAGGCAGAGTTACATGGGGGTTGGGGGGGGAGACAAAGAGAGAGATCTTCCATCTGCTGGTTCATTCACCAAATGGCCCCAAGGGCCAGAGCTGGGTTGGTACAAAGCAAGGAGCTAGGAGCTTCTTCCAGGTCTTCCACATGGGTGCAGGGACCCAGGAACCAGGGCCATCTTCTGCTGCTTTCCCAGGTGCATTAGCAGAGAGCTGGATTGGAAGAGGAGGAGCCAGAACTCGAACCAGTGCCCATGTGGAAAGCCAGCAACATAGGCAGAGACTTTACTTGCTTCGCCACAGTGCCAGCCCCTGACACCCCAATTTCTAGACTCTGAAGTAACAGTACAAGATTAGATAATGTTCCAAAAGCAGCAAGGCCTCTCCATAGAAAAAGTACTAATTAACACTAAGCAGGTGATGCTACAGGACAGTACATTTGGGCAGGCTAAGAATGAAACTACTGGGTGGGTGTTGCAGTGCAGTGGGTTCAGCTGCTTGGGACAACTGCATCCAATTATCAGAGTGTTCAATGGAGTCCTGCCTCCTCCACTTCCAATACCTCCCTGGCTAATGCACCTGGGAAGGGAGATGATGGCTCAAGCATTTAAGTCCCTGCCACCCAAATGGGATACCCAGGTGGAATTCTGGGCTCCTGGGTTTGGCCTGACCCAGCCCCAGCTGTTGTAGGCATTTGAAGACTGAACCAGAAGATGGAAGATCCTCCACCTCCACCCCATCACTCTGCTTGTCAAATAAGTAAATCTTAAGAAAATTACCTACCCAGATCAGAGCTCACTCTCTATTCTCCAAATACTTCAAAAACCTTTTTGGAATTCATTTTTTGAATCAGAAATAAATAGTGTTTTTAAACCAAGAAAAGCTCCTCCTCTACATTCTGAATTCCAATTTAAAAAGGAAATACATTTCACATTCTGTTGCATTCTCAAAGTATATCTTAAGGCTACAGTGTTAAAGACTTAAAAGTGAGGAACACAGACACTGTTAGATTTTGTATAACTTTTGTTCATCAGCTACCTATTTAAAATGTATATATACACACTTGAGGAAGCAAAATGTATCATAGTAATGAGAGGTAGTATTTGCCTTCTAAAGCCATGTTCACAAACCCCTATCATTTGAACATTCAGTAATGAAGAATCATTACTTAAACACCATTCTGTTGTATTGTCCATGAAGAGGTGTCTTTAACTGGCAATCTCCTAAGAGCTCTAATGATCACTAAATTACTTTCCCTCTTCTGAAATGTTTACTTTTACCATATTAACCCAGATTTTCACCCTCTCACACATGAATATGTAAGAAGGCACCAATTAGGTGCCTTTTCCCATCTCTTCTTATTCCTATTTACCATGAATGCTTCAGTCAGATCTCTCCTAAAGCACACTTTGAACACATCACTTCATGTATCAAGAAACTTAGCTTCCTAACGTCTCATACCTAACGTTCAAACTTCTTACACTAGATTTTCAAGGCCCTTTGTACTTATTTTTAATATGTTCATCACTCTTTCTTAATAGCCTCTGACCACAAGGCAATGTAGTCCTTTCTCAGGACCTCTGCCTCTGTATGTTATTCATCTCTCCCCCTTTAGGTAGGCATATCTAAAGCCCACTCTTTAGACCCATCTTCAACCTCCTTCATTACATCTTCCCTTTCAGACCATTCTAGTCCAGACAGACTTAGTGCATAAGTAACTACCACTATATTAAGTTACACTAGCAAAGTCTTTTGATCTCAGGAAGTAGAATATATTTTTTAAATCACATACTGCTAGACACACACGAGTTGTTGGTAAATTGATAATGCTGACTGGTACAAGTCTAAAATGAAGACAAATATTATGTCACCTCCCCCTCAACAGCATACCCAAACAAGTTCAATAAATAAATCTCCATTTGTTGCCCTCTAATGTTTTTAATTCCTTCATTGTGTAATTCTTCTGAGACTGTATAAACACCTCAAAAACATCTACATTTTAAATATTCATTTCTACCCTATCATCAAAAAGTCATACAAAAAAACTGTTATAAAAAACATGCTGAATAAATGTGTTCCTTTTCTACACTGCAGAATAAAACTTAAAGCTTAAAGGTCTCTAAGATATTTTGTTTGATTCATAGTGACTAATTAAAATAAATGCAAAAAATGATGTGCTTCATCCAGAGAGCCTAATACACAATTTAGTACTTGGGCCAGAGCTACCTAGAAATTACAACTAACTGCTGGGAATTACTCTGAGATTTTTCTTTTTCAAGGTAAGGCTTTGCTATCCCTTTTGATGGAATAAGACAATTATTATTTTTAATAGAATTCAGGAAATTTGGCTAAGATTGGGTAAAACACTGCCTTTTTTCTTGCTATAGTTAACCTTAATACAATGGCATCAGATCTATGTATCAGATTCTTGCTGACTGAAATTTGGTAAGCAGAAGAGAAAAACGGGGAGAAGGGAAGTACCAGAAGGAGAAGAAACAAGGGAATTAGCACCTATGGATTTTCAAGCCTGTTCAAAGTAGACTATGATTTTGAATGAGTTTCTTCCAATGGGAAGTAAACTCCTTCCTGACCACTTCCAGTCTAATCTAAAAATCACATTAGTAAATAGAAGAACCAGTGGTTTCCAAATACCTATACATAAATAAAACAGGAATCTCTGCTCAGGTCTACCAATGATTACTATCAAATAGTAAGTACATTTTCATTATTCTACTTTTCAGCACCTCTGCAAGACACTTCTTTCCAACTATACTAACCATGGAAATATTTAAAGCTTATTTTACAAACATTTTTCTCTTCAAATCTCTATTATTTTACACTATTTTCTGAGCCCATAGCTGGCCCCATAATTAATACATCTTGACTAATTTTGCGGTGAAGTTGTTTTAGGAAGCTCTTTTTCAAGAAACCACTAGTCCATATAAAGTTAAAAAATATTTAAATCAATATTAACTGTCGTTAGCCTAAGACAGGTGGGTACAATCAAGGTAAAAATACACTGTTTTTTAAAATTGTGCTGTACAAATGAGTTATACCAATTCTTTATATTTTTACACCAACAGATTCTCTTATTTAGACAAAGGTGATTCATGTGACAGTCTTTTTAAGTACAGTTCATTATATAAATTTTGTAAGTGGGATAATTAAAAGTTCAAAATAAATCGGCAAACTATGTGGTGTATCCAGTTATAGGAATGCTTTAGAAAGTCTAACACTCAATTCAGTACTAAGGCCAGAGCTACTTAAGATTACAACTAAACGTTGACACCGAATTCAAAATTTCTGCCATTTCCTAAAGGCCTAGTTAATACCAGCACACACAGGAGAATTTAGAGAAAATTGGGTGCTGAGCATCATTATACAGGGATCTTGAAAAACACTCACCTTCAAATGACTACATTCTACGTTACACAGAGAACACAAATGTGGAAATATTCTTGGAGATGCTGCATAATAATCATTCATCATAGAAGGAGTTGGAAGTCTCTTCATCTTCTGGGCATCAGCATGTGAAAACTTTGGTAACCATGATGCTTTCACAATCCCAAATGGAGACTGAATGGGAATATCAGCCTCTGACTGGTAATTCTTTTTACTTCCTCTTGAGCCAACATGTACATTAGATGAATTAATCACAGGTTTATGTGGGATCCGCTCTTGTTGGCTTACAGCTGAAATTAATTCAGATGAAAAAGGCTGCTGGTTCATAGAAGGAGGAATCAGAGACTGACTCATTGTCTGGCTAACTGTTTGGCTAATAGATTGACTGATGGATTTTACAGGTTCAAGGACTGACTGTCCTCCTGAAATGTGTAAGCCTGACATCTTGGTTCCACTCTCAACTGGGAAAAAAGACTGATTATTGGAGGACTCACCAGGGAAGTCCATCTGACGAAACACATCTTCAACAGGAAACATAGAATTACATATTACGTTTGGAGTGGGAACAGATGCAGAAATGTTCTGCTGTGATGGAAATTCATTCTTGACCTCATCAGTTGGAATTTCGGGATCATAAATACGTACTTCAAGGGGATCTTCTGTGTAGCCATATTTGCTTGCATGCCCATAATCAATCACATTACTTGAAACTGCTTCACTACCAAGCGTTTCTTTATTTCTGCTTTGAGAAGGTAAATTAGGTAATCGGCGCCCCATTTTTCGCATTCTTATATCCCTCAAAATTAATGGCATATTTTCAGGAGTTAGCTGTTCATCAGGATAACGACTAAGTTCTTCTAGATCTTCATTAGATAATCCGAAACTTGCTAAGATACTTGAGGCACTCTCTTTTGTGTAGCGGCTCTGTACTTTAGGACTCTGCTCTGTAACCTGTGTTAAAGAACTCTGTTTCACTCCTACCGATGCAGATATGTGAGGCTCATCATCCCACCGGCTACCATGAGGCTTCCCCTTCTTTTGTTGTGCTTCATGAAAATCCAATTTTTCTTTGGTCAATCTTGGATCAGTTCGGTGTTGAGTTACCTGAACATTCATTCTCTGTGGTCCCATGTTCTGATAAGATTCATGGCCAGCAAATCTGTGTGGAATTCCACGGGCTCTCCCTGCTGGGTAAAATCTTGGAAGACCCATAGATCCAGGCCTCATAAATGGTCCTGGAGGCCTCATCCCAGAAGGGTTAGGTGCTCGTGGCCTTTGAAGTGGAAAGTTTCCTCGAGGATTAAACCTGGGTCTCGACATGGCTATTTTCAAGAAAGCCTGATTTAATAAAGTATAAGGTGGTACTGAACCATGTGAGGCAACGGCATTCAGCTGCTGAAGCGCCAACTGAGTCTTAATCTGAGCAAAGTGCAAAGGAGATGGGCCCAACAGAAGTGGATTTGCAATGCCCAGGTTCAAGGAATTCACAAGTGGTGCGAAATTTTCCAAGAATAACACAAAGCTGAAAGTTAAAACACAAATATTAGATCATTTTAACTCAAACTACTTCATGAAGTGGGTTCTACAGCCAGTGTAAAACATTTTGAAATAAAGCCATAAAACTGCCCTGCATTTCATATACTTTTAGAGCAGGAACTCAGAAGGATCTTAAACTTCCCCCAGAACTTTCTCTTCTTTCCTTTCCCGAATCCAGAAAATATACCCCAAACCTTAAGCCAGAGTTCATGTACATTGTGTTGTGGTGGGTGCTGTCCTAGGTGCTGAGCAGTAATTACAACTCCTTTTAAATAATCTTGAAAAACAATGAGGATTTATTTCATGCTTTAATACTGGAAAAAAAGATGAAGGCATTAAAATACTCAGAAATGCGCACACTTTGTTAAGTATATTACCAGACATAAAAACAATGAAAATAATAACTGTAACCCTAAAGCTTTGTATGACTCATTTCTGTAAGACACATTCTTCCCTGGACTCAGCCTTCACATCTAATAAATTCCATGTGACAATTAAACTACACTTATGTTCCTGTTATTAAATAGTTGTTTCCTGTAACATAAAAATTTTTTGCCAATAACTTGACTACAGTCTGACAAAGGAGTATGTAACAGCATGAAATTGGTAGTAAGACACAACATACTTTAACAAAGCCAGTCACCAGTCTCTTGAATTTCCACCACAGTGGAATACAAACAAATTGTATATTTGGAAAACAACAATTAACTTTACAGAGCACTGTTCATATATCAGCTACCTTCTAAACACTTTACACAGATTATATCATTTAGTTTTCACAACTCTGAGACACTTAGTTTTATAGAGTATATTAAGAGACAGGTTAAGAAACAGAGACAAGTAGCAGTGCCAGGATTTGCACTTAAAGTAATCTGGCCCCATAAACCATGCTCTTAACCACTCACAGATGTAAAAATATCTTGCAGTTCCCGCTATGTTAGTCAAAGCTGGCTGCTGAACAGCCCACCGGAGAGCAGCACTACCCACTCCAAACCACTTCTTAGCAAAATAGTACCGTTATCATTCAGGACCAAGGTCAGCAGCCACAACCTGCCTATCCTCTCCCAGTTTGTAACAAGAACATATACTGTGACTAAACTTGACCACCAAGGCCCAAAGAGGGTCTTCCAACAACCTTTCTTACTTATTGCTTCCAACAGTTTTGGACTCATGCTTTTCATGGTCCTGTTTCTGTGCGCATATGCATGGTCTTTTTCTTCAACAATTTAGTGTCAACTTATTTTGTTCACTGTTAAGTCTTTTTTTTTTTTTTTACTTGAAAGTCAGAATTACACAGAAAGAGAAGGAGAGGAGGGAAGAGTGGATGGGGGAGGGGGCGTCTTCCATCCACTGGTTCAGACTCCAGTGGGCTGCAACAGCCAGAGCAGTGCCAATCCAAACCAGGAGCTAGGAGATTTTTCTGGGTCTCCCACGTGGGTGCAGGGGCCCAAGGACTTAGGCCATCTTCCACTGCCTTCCCAGGCCACAGCAGAGAGGTGGATTGGAAGTGGAACAGCTGGGACTTGAACCGACACCCATATGGAATACCAGCACTGCAGGCGGTGGCTTTACCCAATACACCACAGTGCTGGTCCCTCACTGTTAAGTCTTATCTCTCAAGCATCTAAATCATACTTACTCAAAAGATCCTCAAATATTTGTTAAATCTGAACAACTATATCCAAAATCCTCATCGTTAACACAAGTAAATTTTCAAACTAAAATGAAACACAAAAAATGCAGCAAAAATTGCACAGGCTTGATTCACCAAACAGCAGCAGAAACAAACTTACTGAAATAATACCCAAATTCTCCCCAAAAAAAGTTCATTTATAACAAACTTATGATTTTTTTTGACAGGCAGAGTGGACAGTGAGAGAGAGAGACAGAGAGAAAGGTCTTCCTTTGCCGCTGGTTCACCCTCCAATGGCCGCCGCAGCTGGTGCGCTGCAGCCGGTGCACCGCGCTGATCCGATGGCAGGAGCCAGGTGCTTCTCCTGGTCTCCCATGGGGTGCAGGGCCCAAGCACTTGGGCCATCCTCCACTGTACTCCCAGGCCACAGCAGAGAGCTGGCCTGGAAGAGGGGCAACCGGCACAGAATCCGGCGCCCCAACCGGGACTAGAACCCAGTGTGCTGGTGCCGCAAGGCGGAGGATTAGCCTAGTGAGCCGCGGCGCCGGCAACTTATGATCTTTTTAAACATTCCTATGAAACCATGCCTATCTTCTACATAATAAAATTACTTTCAAGAACAACATTTGTTTACCCCAATCCTTAAAAACAATCATTGCTTATATAAGCAGTTTTTCGTCTATTCAAATTCTTTCTGCACCATTTTCCCCCATCTGGTGAAAACTCCTCTTACAACTTAAGGAACACAAGCTCTTTCAGATTTTGTTTCTCTCCAAAACAAAACAGAAAAGGAACAGCTTTCAATCAGCCATGTAATTACTACATCTAATTATGAACAATCATCAGCTTCAAGTATCTGCATTTTACGTTCTTTAAAGGCAAAAACCTACCTATGTAATTTCTAATTTGTCTAGCACTGCCTTACATGACAGAAGTATATATTTATAGAATGTTAGTGAGCTTCGCAATTCTATTCTGTTCTATTCTATGAAGATTAGCTTTCTACAAAGGAGTTTCTTGGTCAAGACAGTTTGAAAAGCGCTATACTTGCTACTATTCTTAGAGGGGCACAATTCCTATTAGCATATTAAGGGTTCTGAACCCTCTTATCAAAAACTTTCTTATTTTGCAGTTTCCAAAGTTGAGCTTTTCCTTATGCATACCCAGAGGTGATGTCTGAAATATCTAGTAACTGGTAAAGAACAATCAAAACACATTTGTCTTACAATACACAAAACAGAATCCTGAATCCCTCCTTCCTCCATCATCCTTAAGATTTCAGATGCTTGCAGCAGGAGGAGGTAGTGTGATAAGGCAGCCCTAAGGGAAGGACAATCTTATAGCAGTAGCTACTTACCAAGCAAGAGCAGGAATATTTCTGTAGTTTAACAGCTAGTCGGCTGGCACCGCAGCTCAATAGGCTAATCCTCCGCCTGCGGCGCCGGCACACCGGGTTCTAGTCCCAGTCAGGGCGCCGGATTCTGTCCCGGTTGCCCCTCTTCCAGGTCAGCTCTCTACTGTGACCAGGGAGTTCAGTGGAGGATGGCCCAAGTGCTTGGGCCCTGCACCCGCATGTGGCTCCTGCCATCGGATCAGCGCGGTGCGCCGGCCACAGTGCGCCGGCCGCAGCGGCCATTGGAGGGTGAACCAACGGCAAAGGAAGACCTTTCTCTCTGTCTGTCTCTCTCACTGTCCACTCTGCCTGTCAAAAAAACAAAAAAAAAAAAAAAAAAACCCACAAAAACAAAAACAACAGCTAGTACAGCTAGCTTTATCAGTGTGCAGTCACTGAATATCAGTCCAGAAAAGACACCAGACAGTCTAGAATACACATGAAAAGTAAAGGTCTTTTCCAGGTTGAGGAATTTTCAACTATCAACAGCAGGTTTGGCTTTTTCCATTTTTTAGAAACTTAAAACTAAACCTTTCAAATGGCTAGCCTCATAAAATCCAATCTAGTAAGAATAGAGTCGTAAGTTAACAACCCTAACTCTCCCTAAGAGATCTCTCTCCTTTCATTGTTGGGAAGACAAGTTAGAGGACTGCTCAGCCATCATTATTTATTAATAAGTCCTCTGGACCCAGGACCTATTGGCTACAATCAGTACTTTTCTCTTGACATCCTTGTCCTTTACTGGGTCATTTCTGAAAACTTCCTTTCTGAGAAGTTCCCTTAATCCTGAGCTTTAAGACAATACTTCTAACTTATCCTAAGATTTCTTATACATTTTATACTTCTAAGTTTAGTATATTTTATATAATTTTAGCTTATATTTAGTAATACTTTCAGACTAATATAAAACTACTGAACATCTTCTGGAGCTATTATATTATTCTAATCCTGGTAGAGAAGTTTCTGACAACCAGTTTATCAATGAATCATCATAAAAAAGAGAAATCATGTGATTACTTCAAAAAGTTGGTGGAAAAATAGAACTGAAAGGCAAATTTGTTTTGGTGGAAGCACTTTATAAAAGGACACTTGTATTTGTATTGCAAACTTTGTATTCATAAGGTATTATAAACCTGAATTCTGCAATTATATAATTCTGAAGCCTTTTTTTCAAATGTAACTTTAATTTTTTTTTTTTTAACAGGTAGAGTGGACAATGAGAGAGAGAGACAGAAAGAAAGGTCTTCCTTTTACCATTGGTTCACCCTCCAATGGCCGCTGCAGCCAGTGAACTGTGCTGATCCTAAGCCAGGAGCCAGGTGCTTCTCCTGGTCTCCCATGCAGCTGCAGGGCCCAAGCACTTGGGCCATCCTCCACTGAACTCCCGGGCCACAGCAGAGAGCTGGCCTGGAAGAGGGGCAACCGGGAAAGAATCCAGCGCCCTGACCGGGACTAGAACCTGGGGTGCCGGCACTACAGGCGGAGGATTAGCCTACTGAGCCGCGGCACCGGCCCAAATGTAACTTACACACAGGCAAGCCTGACCATCAGCACCTTTCTCTGTTTTGTCACTTAACTTTTACATCCTTCTCAATCAAGCCAAGGAAATAAAAACCCAAAAATAATTATTAGGTCATTCAGTGTATCTTTTTAAAAAGCTAAGTACCCCTAAAATATTTAGAAAACTATCTCCCTAGCTATAAAAATATATTAAATAGTAAGAAATTCAGCTGTTTTATCATATAAATAGTTACATCACTGTTCTAGGTGGGCAAGAACCAAAGTTATAAAGCCAGAAAGATGCTTTCCTTCAGAGATAGCTCATAAGAATTATAACAAATAACAAAATATATAGTTAGGAGTCTCTTTAAGGTTTCCTTTTTCATGCCTTTGCAATTAAGGCAGCTCCTAGAGACTGGAAACTATTTGAATAAACTACAGTATATCCATATTTTACAGCTATGAAAGTATCATACACTCCTGGTAGGATATATCTTAAAATGTACTAGCAAATAAAAACAAACAAAAACTCCTTAAATCCCTAAGTTGTTTTCATGTTTTAAATTAGCCTCTGGACAAAACTATCAATAAAATACTGGTTAAAGAATCAGCCATCCAACAGCATTATGAATGTTAAGTATGTGAAGAGTATTACTATAACCTATCTGAAGTCAAAGTGGTCTCTAATCCCAAAACATGAAATGTGGTCGGCGCCATGGCTCACTAGGTTAATCCTCTGCCTTGCGGCGCCGGCACACCGAGTTATAGTCCCCGTCGGGGCGCCGGAT